TGTGGGAAAAAACTGGCCCCTAACTTTGGGGCATTTTGGGGGCAATTTACGGTAATTATAGGGTAATTCTGGGGCAATTTAGGGTAATTATAGGGTAATTATAGGGTAATTATAGGGTAATTATTGGGTTTGTAGGGTTGATAGGATTTTATATGGTTTTGGCTGTTAGAATCCTGGCACCGTAAATATTGCGGGGCCTGGGGTTTCGGAGCCTGCTGCGCTGCACACCGCACACCTTAAAGCTCCTGCTCCTTTGTTGTTTGCCTGCGTTCAGGATGAGGGTTTTAGGGTAGAATGAACATGTAGAGAAAATCATAGGGCTTACTGCAGGTTTTAGGGTTAAGCCTCTGGGGTTGTAGGGATTTCGAGGTGAAGAGATCCTGTCGGTTTGCCGGTAGACATTGCGAGCTTGGAAATGTGGGTTGTGGGGTGCGCTTTCCCATGTTTATATATGTTTATCCGCACCTAAAATCTATTTTTGAGTTCTGGGCGCTGTTCTGCCTGTTCTCGCTCACCGTGGCTGTTGTATTGCCTCGGTTCAGACCCGAGAGACTCGGTGCTTGATATTTCTTTGCTCCGTCCTCTAATCTAAGGGTAGTTACACGGGCCCTTCATATGGTTCTTACCTCCTCCAAAGGGTGATGTATGGGCCTTTGGGTTTACAGGGGACATGAGGGGTATTGAAGAGGTCCCCGTTTAAGGGTCCATACTAAGGACCATGAAACTACCCTAAACCCTAAACCCTAAACCCTAAACCCTAAACCCTAAACCCTAAACCCTAAACCCCCTAAACCCCCTAAACCCCCTAAACCCCCTAAACCCTAAACGACGTGTTGATCTGGGGTCCCTCGGTTTGGGGTAGCTTGCGCCAGGCGCGAGCGCATTCGGCAGCTCAGGGAGGCCCTCCGAAAGCAATGTGCAGACATTGTTGTTTGGTCAGTGTGTGTGTGCCATCATGTCCTAGGCAAGCCCTTAAGGGGCATGTTCTAGGTTTTTTGTGGGGGTTTAAGAGGATCATATGTAGAAGTATGTTTCAAGCGGGTTTAGGGGCCGTCCGAGCTTCTCGACTGCAGGCGAGCGCGGCCCATGTGCCAGCAGAAACCAGGGAAGCCATCGAGTGAGCAAAATGGCCGATCGCAACTTGGTTCTTAGGGTTTAGGGTTTAGGGTTTAGGGTTTAGGGTTGTGATTGCCGGATTCTGCTGGAAGCTTGGAGACCAGATGAACTTCAAATCAGAAGAGTTTATGGTTCCTGTACCCCAGGTACTATAGTAGTAGAGGGTATATGATCCCAATTTTGGGGGATCATTAGGTCCCCAAGTAAAGGCGTGCTGCGGGCTTGCATGGTCAATCTGCGCTTGAAAGACTACGAGAGAGACGACCCAGCAACAGCTTGCAATTCGTGTTAGGGTTTAGGGTTTAAAGGTTAAAGGTTTAGGGTTTAGGGTTTAGGGTTTAGGTTGGGATGTTCCCCGTCCCCCTTTTTCTAACAGTCCTTCATGGGGATTATAGTAGGGGGGCACCAGAATCCCTATGAAGGACTGTTAGTATAAGTGGGAACAAACCTCAAACAGTACATGATGCTGGCGCACTGCGGGTGCCTCGCAGGACCTCAGATCCGCTATAGCTGGCGCCAAGGACGGCTCCCACAGGATAATATAACAAAATATAGTATCATATAGTATAATAGTATATATTATGGTATCATATAATATAAGATAAGATAATATAATATAGTATAATCATATATAAAATAACAAGGTTTGGGGTTTAGTCTTGGGATGTTCCCCCTTATCATGAAAGTCCTTGATAGGGATTACATGGGATTTTAGTACCTCCTCCCTTATCACTAACAGTTCTTAATAGGGTCTGTAGTACCCCCAATTATGATCCCTAGTATATAAGGACTGTTCGTATAAGGGGGAACATCCCAATGTATAGGGCAAGCATTGGGGAGCAAAGGCAACTTCGTCCCCCTCGCAGGAAGGGGTTTGCTTGAATTGGTTGGTCGACATCCTTAGATGTTCTGACGCCCAAAAGTTTCCCCAACACCCCGAAGCCCCGAAACACCGCAACATTGTGATGAACCCGTGATGGCGGCTCCTATGAAAGAAGCCCTACGTGAGTTTGGGCCCCAATGTGCTGAGTTTGCAAAAACCTTTGTTTAGGGTGTAGGGTTCAGGGACTATCTAAAGCTAGTTTCATGCGCCCTTTATGTGGTCCCGTACCCTCTTCAAAGGGTTCGGATGTAAGGGGCTTGAACTTGTATAGGGTATAGAAGGGGTATATACAGGGTCCCTTTTTAAGGGCCCATACTAATGGACCATGCAACTACCCGTAGAGACTAGGGATACACTACAGCCTAAACCTTAAGCCGTGAACCCTCAATGAAACGGTCAGGGGCTTGTAAGCCCCCTCCTCGTCCCCATTTCCAAGGAGCCCTAAAACCTAAACCCTAAACCCTAAACCCTAAACCCTAAGCCCTAAGCCCTAAACCCTAGTCTCATGCTAGGGTGCGATGCAGGAGCTCCAGTTCCTTCAGCCATTGAATGGCGAGGATCCGAGCTTCCAAAGGGGTTTAGGGTTTAGGGTTTTAGGGTTTAGGGTTTAGGGTTTAGGGTTTAGGGTTTAGGGTTTAGGGTTAGGGTTAGGGGCTCAGGTGTTTTTGTGGTTGTCGGATTTCTTTTTGTTTTAGCAGGGGGGGGGGGGGGGGGGGGTGAATTTGGGGTTTAGGGTTTGGGGTTTACGGTTTGGGGTCTAGGGGGTTCAGGGGGCTTAGGCGCTTAGGGTTTGGCAGTGGTTTGGGGGCTTAGGGGTTGGGGGTTTAGGGGTTTAAGGGTTCGGGTTTTAGGGGTAAGCTTCGCGGTGTCAGGGTCTGGGGGTTCGTGGTTTAAGGGGCTGCGGGCTCTGTCAAGACTTCGTTCCATGGCCTCTGCTCAAACCTTCCGCCCGAAACCCTATGTTTCAAACCCAAATCCTAGGGTTTAGGGTTTGGGGTTCCCTTTTTCGGGGGTGTAGTTTTCTTTAAATACAGAAGGGCTCCCTGGGCTCCCTTTTTCTTCCTCGGTTGCTGGTCAACCTAGCCCTAAGCCCGACCAGTCTACTTGGGGGTTCACAGCACTTAGTACAATAACCCAATTGCAACCCATTAGGGAACTTAAGGGGCTTCTAAGTGCGTTCTAGCTACTCTTCAACTTGGGTTACTAAGTACCCTAAACCTTCAACCCTAAACCCTAAACCTTAAATCCTAACCACCCTGAATCTCCCAGTCGCTGAACCTCCAAGTAGGCCCGACCAGTCTCTGCAAGCGCTTCAGGCACCTTCGACCCATCCACCTTTGCGCGGACTAGTGAAGGGCAGGCAGGGCGGGCCCAGTCATTTGTGTAAGGTGAAGATACGGTTCTTCTAAGGTTGATGTATAGATATACATATATATATATACATATGTATATATACATATTTATTTATTTATTTATTTAATTTTTATTTATTTATCTATCTGTTTATTTTTTTATATCGTCTATATTTATTTATTTCTTTCAGCGGTTGGTATATATGGTTTTCAATCAGGTTTACATAGTTTAATGAGGTTTATAGAGGGTTTAGATAAGGTTTTTTCAGGCCGAGCTTAAGTGCAAGAGCGTCGGATTTGCAGGGCTTCTTCGGGGTGTTGCTGTCATTGTGCTACTATTGCTGGTACGGATGGCGGATATTGCCGTCATGATTGCCGTGAGTTTCTTTTTTAAAAGAATTGCCGGCATTGTTTAGGGTTTAGGGGGTTAGGGGGGCTTAGGGATCTTCGGTTCAGACATGTCAGTGTCCGAGCAGCTGCCGTGGGATTTGATGCCGCAAGTTGAGAGCACGGCCCAAGAGATCTGCACCCACGACGCTCCAGTAGTCCATCTCCCTTAGTTGATGATTTTAGGGTTTAGGGTTTAGGGTTTAGGGTTTATTCCTACATCACATGCGGATCCCGGCTACATAGGGGATATGGGAGTCTCCGGGTAGCCCTAATCCCCAAAAACCCTGAAGCCCTGAAGCTCTGAAGCCCTAATCCCTGAACCCTAAACCTGAACCCTGAACCCTAAACCCTACACCCCAAACCCCAAGCCCAAACCTCAACCACAATTGCTTGTGCAAGCTCCGTTCTGGCTCGCAGCAAGACGCATCACACAGGTTCTCTCACAGCCTTCTGGGAGGTTCAGGTATCCCTTAGAGGAGGTTTCCTTTTCTTTTGGTTTCGGTTCCCTTTTACGGCCCGCGAAACCAAAAAGGATACGCTTCATTCCTAAATTACTCTTGGGTCTTAGAACCCAATCAAGAGCTTAGATATAACCCACCCATAAGCCCTTAACTCTCCCACAATAGGGTTAGAATTGGGTTATCAGTACAGTTATAGTTGGTTTTATATGTACCATGAACCTCCACGTAAGGTGTGTTGGAGTCAGTCAGGATCTGCATCCAGTCAGTTCGCGCCGACCCGCTCGGGACTTCGTACCGGACTCCGCACCCGCGGCCAGGCGCTGCGCTATTTGGGGGCACAGGCGTGGCTGTCTCCTGCGAAGGTCTCGGAGTTTTAGGGTTTAGGGTTTAGGTTTAGGGTTTGAGTTTAGGTTCAGGGTTTAGGGTTTAGAGTTTAAGGTTAGAGTTTAGGGTTTGGGGTTTCAGGTTTAGGGCATCTCCCGCGAAGGTGGTCTCGGGAGCCATGAGCCCGAGCGCTGCAACTGCGGAGGTGTTTGTGATGCGCCTTGCGCCGCTGGTGATTGACCACTTGGCCTCCAGCCGCCCCTTGGCTGCCAATGTGCGATAGCCAGCTGTGCCAGTATTTTGAGCTGCTGTTGCTGCTGTTAGTTAGTTGCTGCTGTTCTCACTTTTTATGTCAAATGCTATATTATTGTATGTAGTAGTTAGTAGCATGCTTTATTGCCAATAGCTCTTACTACTCTTCGAGTTCTCATGCTTACTACTCTTGACTTTCGGGGCGTCGGAGTGAGGCAGGGCATGGACGAGAGGCTCCAAACCTACAACAAGCTCATCTCGGCCTCGGGGCGGGCATCGCACTGGCCCTTGGCGCTGTGCTTCTTCAGAGAGCTGCAGGCCTTGGGTCCCCCCCCGTATGTTTCCCCCCCCTCTTTTTTTGGTTTGTTCCCCTTATAAAGGACACGGAAACCTAAGAAAAAGGGGGCCCCCCCCCCCCCCCCCTAATATGGCGACTGGGCTACCAAGTCTCTTGGGAGCTTGGACCATTCCTGCGACGGCTACTGCTACTGCGACTCCTCCTCCTCCTACTCCTCCTCCTGCTGCTGCTACAATCACTCTTCCTAAACCCTAAACCCGAAACCCGAAACCCGAAACCCGAAACCCTAAACCCTATCCTTTGTACCATAACGAGCCCATCCTGAAGGACCTGCAGCAAGGCGACGCCATCAGCTACGGGGCAGCTGTGAACGCGTGTGAGAAGGGAAGTCAATGGATCCTTGCCATCACCCTCCTGAAGGAGCGAGCCGTAGGCAGCTCCTAAGCCAAGGCTTCGGCTACCTAAACCCTAAACCCTAAACCCTAAACCCCAAACCCTAAACCCTAAACCTAGACCCTAAACCCTAAACCCTAAACCGGGGTAATTGCAATCCCATTTTCAAGTGCAGGGCAGCTTCATGTCAGGAGATGGATGCCGAGCAGTTTCAACCAGACCTGATCACGTACAGCAGTGCAGCACCCCGGATGGTGAGGGTTTAGGTTTTAGGGTTTAGGGTTTAGGGTGATCCATTCCCAACTTTTTGTGTATCTGCTAATAGCTGCTAGTTTCTCATGCTAAGTTTTCATTCATGATAATTCAGTATTAGGCATGTGTCTGCTACTAAGCAGCAAGTCCTAATTAGACTTTCTTGATACTAAAACCGCAAATCCAATTCCTAATGACAGCTTCTAATCATTAGTTGAAAATCACTCTCTAAAAGGAAAAAGAGTCATTGCTAAGAACTACCAATTTGCCACCAAGTAACTACTTAAAGCTGGTCATTGTTTATAAACGACCAAGTCTTGATACCAAATTGTAATCTTTCTTTACCTTCAGTCAAGATTCTTAATGGCCGCCATGCATCCTCCTTTAGGACAGACAGGAACCCTTGTCATTCATGGTTATAAGCGCCGATGAGGTCTTTAGTGCGCTCACAAATGATACTAATAGTAGCGTCTCTTTTCCCTGTTATGTAGCAGGTGGTTGCAGGCTGTGTTTAGGGCGCATTGCGTAGTTGCATCTGCACTGAGTTTAGTTTGGTGGCTTCGGTGGTATGCCATGCCCAGGCAAGCGCGTGTGAGAAGGCAGGCGAATGGCCATCCGCCTTGCACTTGCTCGCGAAGCTTGAGTCGCACCATGTCTCTGCAGATGTGGTCATGCACAACGCGACTCCTTGGGCAATGTCCAGCTCTTGTCGCCCTAAATCCTTTACCCTAAACCCTAAACCCAAACCCTAAACCCTAAACCCTACACCCTAAACCCTAAACCCTAAACATTAGTGGGTGCTTTGCAGGGGCCTTCCAGTTTCGAGCTTTCTGCCCCCGAGGCCGTCATCAGTGCATGCGCGAGTGGTGAGGAGTGGGAGCTGGCCCTAGACCATCTCGGAGAGCTCTCAAAGAAGTCGGTGCAGAGATCCTTGGCTAGGGTTTAGGGTTTAGGGTTTAGGGTTTAGGGTTTAGGGTTTAGGGTTTAGGGTTTAGGGTTTAGGGTTTAGGGTTTAGGGTTTAGGGTTTAGGGTTTAGGGTTTAGGGTTTAGGGTTTAGGGTTTAGGGTTGGGCCATTCACTGGGCTCTTGCTATTCTCGAGGTAGTTGGCCGGTACATCAGAACCCTCTAAACTTTAAAGAAGGTAAGGGACTAAATGAAGGGACCATGTAACCCTAAGATGTTAAGGAACTTGGTTTCTAGGATAGGGCCTCAAATAAGTTGGTAGCTTCAGTTTCAACTTCCTTCTCACAAGCATGTTCAGCCCGCAGCCCGAGCGATCATTGATGCATGCGTTGGGTTTAGGGTGCAGGGTTTAGGGTTACAGTATATCACCTAAACCCTAAACCCTGAACCTAGGGTTTAGGGTTTAGGGTTTAGGGTTTAGGGTTTAGGGTTTAGGGTTTAGGGTTTAGGGTTTAGGGTTTAGGGCTACTCAAGATAGTTTAAGGCTGAGTTAAGGTACGATCGTCACATACAGCGCTGCCATCATTTCCTGCGCAAGGCCTGGTCGCAGCGAGCATGGTGTTCTCTTGCAGGAGCTGACTGCCCTAAACCCTAAACCCTAAACCCTAAACCCTAAACCCTAAACCCTAAACCCTAAACCCTAAACCCTAAACAACCCTAAACCCTAAACAACCCTAAACCCTAGACCCTAAACCCCTAAACCCTAAACCCTGTTGCGCAGCTGTCATGTCAAGTCTGGCCGTGCCATTCAGGACTTTGCATAGGAAGTCAAGGCTTTCGGGGTGTGGTAGGAAGTTTTCGTGTGCCACGCCTTGAAAATTATAGGGTTCTTAAGGGAGGGGGGGGTGCAAAGGGGGCATGTAACCCAACTCCGCTAGCATGCCTCTGCAGATCTCCCCGGCCAGGATTAGATTTCTTACCCCGGCACTACTCCCGAAGGCTCCCTAAGCTTCCCGAAGCTTCCCGAAGGTTCCCTAGGTACCTACCCCCCATGAAGCCCCTCCCTTGAGAACCCTACAATACAAGTCGTTGCCGGTTTGGCCGTTCGAAAGGGGAGGGTTGGGGGAGGAACGCCCCTAAACCCTAAACCCTAAACCATCAATCCAGGGGAGGAACACACCTAAACCCCTAAAACCCTAAACCCCAAGCCCTAAACCCTAAACCCCCAACCCTAAACCCTCAACCCTAAACCAGCAATCCGACGCCCAGTCTTCGAAGGTGCGACCAGTGGCCGAAAGCTCTGCAGCTCTTGGCAGACCTCGAGGAGGCCAGGCTCGAGGGCGACGTGATCGCCTGCAGCGCGGCTCCTTGCGCGTGCGCTGAGCAGTTGTGGTTTAGGGTTTAGGGTTTGGGTTTGGGGTTTAGGGTTTAGGGTTCTGGGTTTAGGGTTTAGGGTTTAGGGTTATTAGTTATAAGGCTTTAGGGTTCAGGGTGTAGGGAGTTTGTAGGGTTTAGGGAGTTTATGGGGTTTAGGGCTTCGGGTTCAGCATTCTCAGTCCGTAGCATGGGCCTACATATCATGAGGCGATCAGTGCCTGCGAGAAAGCTGGGCAGTGGCAGCTGGCCCTCTGCCTGCTTGCCGACTTGGACGAGCGTGGCCTCGATGCGGACGTGGCTGGGTCCTCGTTGTAAATAGCACTTTACACTTAGTAGCTGAGTGAGCACACTGTACACTTTTTGGGATACTATAGTCCCCTATAGAAATGAAAGTGTACACTTTTCGGGGCATATGAACTCATCAGCTAAGTACACGTGTTTGAACTCTTAAGCCCAATAAAGAATAAAATAAGTCGTTTTCTAATTATGCCCCCAACAATGGTGCAGGTGGTGGTCTGCAGCGCCGTCTTGAGCGCCTGCGGTCGGTGCCAGCAGTGGCGTCGTGCTCTTCAGCTGCTGGAGGATCTGCCCAAGCGCCGCATACGTGGAAATGTGGTCACTTACTTCACCAATACATGAACTTTAAACTTTTTGGGTTTCCTTACATTGTAGGAATACTACAGGTTAAGAGTTTCTTATTCCTGGGTTATTGGAGAAGTAAGGTGACGTACGGCGCCGCCATAGCCGCCTGCACGAAAGGAGAGCAGTGGGAATGTGCCCTGCGCCTGCTGGCTACTCTTCATCACCAGGGTCTCGAGAGCACCCTGGTGGCTTGCAATGCTGCCCTGCTGGCTTGCGAGGCTGGTGGGGTGTGGCAGCACACGCTGCACCTACTTCAGGGGATGCGCGCCCAGATCCTGAAGGCAGACCTGCTCACCTACAGCACCGCCATCGGGGTGGGCGAGAAGTCGACCCACTGGTCCCTGGCTGTTCTGTGGCTCCAGGAACTTGGGAAGCTCCGGATTCAAAGGGATGTCCTTGCGTACAACCCGGCCGTCTCTGCCTGTGTAGCTGGGGCGAACTGGAAGCTGGCGCTTGGGGTCTTTGCACAGTTGTCCCAGGCCTGGGCTGCACAAGAGAACTATGCAGCGGTTTAGGGTTTAGGGTTTACGGTTTAGGGTGAAGAATTTAACCCTTAAAGCCCAGTGGCAGTAGCAGTAAGTAGTCATCGTCGTAGCAGTCGCAGCGGGGGGAGTGGCAGCAGCAGCAGCAGTAGCAGCAGTGGTAGAAAACGACCCACCCTAAACCATAAACCCTAGGCCTTAAACCCTAAACTAACCCTAAACCCTAAACCCTAAACGCTAAACCCTAAACCGTTTGAGGATCGCTTGAACCCCAACGCGGTCACCTGGGAAGCTGCCCTGAGTGCATGCCAGGCTGGCTCGGTGCAGCTTTTTGGGGTTATTTAATTTGAACTCTAGGATTATTTAGGGTTTAGGGTTTAGGGTTTAGGGTTTAGGGTTTATGGTTCCGGGTTAGACGGATTTGCGGCTTCTTTGGTTTAGGCTCTAGTGCTCCTAAGATTTATGTAAGATTTACAGGGTTGTGGGGCTTGCTTGCAAGGTTAAGGCCCTAAACCCTAAACCCTAAACCCTAAACCCTAAACCCTAAACCCTAAACCCTAAACCCTAAACCCTAAACCCTAAACCCTTGCATCCTAAAGCCCAAAGGTCCTCGAAACGCGCTACGGCCTTAACAGCCCAACGCTCTGCAAACCATGGGCTGCGGTACTAGGACCCAGAGTAGGCCCTTATTCCCTAAACCCTAAACCCTAAACCCTAAACCCTAAACCCTAAACCCTAAACCCTAAAACCCTTTTTTTTGGGGTGTTGGGTTCCTGGGTTACTCCTGGACCCTGAAGCCTAGAGCTTTTTGGGCCCTCCTCGGCCGAAAGCACTCCCAAACTTTAAGGCGACACCCTCCCCAAACCTAAACCCTCCTAAGCCTTCCCAAGGCCCTGACGCCCCAAACCCCCATGATTTGTAGAGTTTAGGGTTTGGGGTTTAGGGTTTAGGGTTTAGCAGAAGAGGCCGGAGAACAGTTTCGCACCGCCTGCAGTGCCCTGGCAGCTGCTGAAGCCCAGGCGCTTGGAGGCAGGTGCCATGCTGTGGGGATCGTAGGATTTAGGGTTTTGGTTTTTGGGGTTTGAGAGCTGAGTTTGCTTGTAAGCAATTGCGGTTGAGGTTTGGGGTTTTGGGTTTGGGGTTTGGGGTTTGGGTTTGGGGTTTGGGGTTTGGGGTTTGGGGTTTGGGGTTTGGGGTTTGGGGTTTGGGGTTTGGGGTTTGGGGTTTGGGGTTTGGGGTTTGGGTAGTTTGTTGGCAGGGTTTCGAGGGTTTGGGTGTGAGAGGCGTCCAATGTGAAATGCGAGCAGGCTACGGCACAGCACCACATGTAAACCCAGGGACAGCTTGGGTTTTGGGTTTAGGGTTTAGGGTTTAGGGTTTAGGGTTTAGGGTTTAGGGTTTAGGGTTTAGGGTTTAGGGTTTAGGGTTTAGGGTTTAGGGTTTAGGGTTTAGGGTTTAGGGCTGCAGCTTCTGTCCAGGCTTCCTCTCTCGACGCGATGCCGAGCGCCAGGTTTGGCAAAGCGCAAGAAAGAGCTTCCCTGAACCCTAACACCCTGACCCCTCACCCTAAACCCTAAGACTCTGAAAACTAAGGCTAAAACCCCTCAAACCCCAAAACCCCGAAACCCCTTACAACCCTAAACCCTCAAACCCTACAACCCCTAAACCCCTAAACATCTAAAACCTCTCAATCCTAAAAACCCCTAAAAGTCTGGACAACTACAACCCCTCAAACCCATAAACCCCTAAACCCCTAAAACCCTATCACCCTAAACCCTAGCCCGAAACCCTAAACCCTCAAACCCTAAACCATAAACCCTAAACCCTAAACCCTAAACCCTAAACCCTAAACCCTAAACCCTAAACCTTAAACCCTAGCCCGAAACCCTAAAACCCTGAACCCTGGGCTTGCAGCGCACTCTTGCCCCCTCAGTGCCCACTCGGACCATTACGTGGAGGTTCGGGGTACTTAGTAACCCCACTATAACCCACTATAACTGTACTTATATAATCCAACTACAACCCTCTCAGGGTGCTTAAGGGGCTTGCATGTACACTGATAATTGGGTTAGAAGGACACTAAACCCTAAACCCTAAACCCTCTTGGGTTATGAGAACCCTGAACCTCCAAGTACGCGCTGGCATGTCCTCACGAGGCCGCCAGCCGAAGCGAAGGCAGCGCGCTGTTCATGACGGAAGGCACGGCACACCCGCGATGTTAGGGTTTAGGGTTTAGGGTCTCGGTTTAGGGTTTAGGGTTTAGGGTTCAGGGATCAGGGTTTAAGCTTCAGGATATACGGTCTTCTTGTTAGGTGCAAGGCGCAGAATCAAAAACGTCTCAGCTGATTCACGAGACACATTGTCGGTGCATCAGTTCAGGCGGATGGGATTGGGGCAGCATCTATATAACCTAAACCCTAAACCCCTAATCCCCGGCCCACCCTTTTGCTGCAACAGCTCGGGCAGGCAGAGAGGAGGCGTCCATCAACGGGCAGGCGCCGCTGTAGGAAGAGCTCCAGAAAGGGCCACTGGGCCTTAACCACATCAGCGTCTGTCAACATTCACAAGACACATCTTACACAGCAGCAAAACCCCAGGGCTCCAAGCATACAGAATTACCACCCACATTAAAGTCGAAAGTCTATAAAATAAGAATACTTCGGGTACTGCCCTAAACCCCAAACCCTATACGCATCGAGAATCCTCTATTGCAAGTGAACCCTATGGACCGTACCTTAAGAACCCCAAACCTTCTGTTTTGTAGGTTATTGCGATAAAACTCCTTATAGGGTTCCTAGGCAACTACGAAAAAGTAAGTAGGCTTTGGTTTCTTCAGGTACCCTAAACCCTATCCATATACCTTTAAGCTTAGGTAGATATAGGTACAGGAAGTAGGCGCTGGGTTCCTAGGGCAAAGCTTGAACTACTGTGGCCCTGGGGTTTAGGGTTTAGGGCTTAGGGCTTAGGGTTTTGGGTTTTGGGTGTAGGGTGTTTAGGGTGTTTAGGGTGTTTAGGGTGTTTAGGGTGTTTAGGGTGTTTAGGGTGCTTAGGGTGTTTAGGGTGTTTAGGGTTTAGTGTCACCAAGTGTGGGGGGGCCTGTAGTACAGAGTCTGTAGGCTTGGCGTTGCGAGGCGAGGCTGCGTAGCTCTACGGACCCTTCGCAGCTCTGGAGGGCTGTGTTAGGGTTTAGGGTTTAGGGTTTCGGGTTTTGGGTTTTGGGTTTTAGGGTTTTGGGTTTAGGGTTTTGGGTTTTGGGTTTTGGGTTTTTGGGTTTTAGGGTTTTAGGGTTTTAGGGTTTAGGGTTTTGGGTTGGAGGAGTCGGAGATCGTCCTGGACAAGACTCCGGAGACCACGAAGGCGCGGTTTGATCTGGCACTGCGACTTCTTTGAGGGTGTTTGGGCCCAGAGGACTACTTTTTCAAGGTTTCAAGGGCTCTTACTGCGACAAGGCCTAAAGCTCCAAGGCTCTAAGGCTCCAAGGATTTCAGGGTTTTTGGGCCCGCAGGACTGAGGGTGTTCGGTTTTGGGGTTTAGGGTTTCTAGGACCCAGAGTAGGCCCTCAGTCCCGTTTTTGTTTGAGGTTTATTGGGTTTCGGTTCCCTTTACGCCCCTTTAAACCACCCTTCCTATTCCTAGGTTACCCCTAGGTCAAACATTTTAGGGTGTTTGGGGCCAAAGAACTACTTGTCCAAGGTTTAAGGGCTCTTATGTGGGAGCCCAAGGGCCGTCTTTTTCCAAGGTTGGGCTATGAAGGGTTCCAGCAAATGTGGATGTCCCGTGTCTGAGAGGCATCCGCCTGCCTGAGAGAGAGGTGCATTTTTGTTGTTGCAGTATCACTTAGACGTTGTGTATATCTGTATCTATATTCAGAAAACACAGTATATACTGCATCTAGTAAACTGATCCCATATACCCTTGTTCTATCGAAAGCGCGAAAAATACCGTAACATGCATGGTTTCCGTTGTATACCGTGAGTACATCAGGCAGAAAAAAGTAAAGCATGAGTTAAACACAGAGATGCAAGGTGTGTGTGTGTGTGTGGGATATATACGTATATATATATATATATCACATATATATATACATATAAGACATGTCGTTTTGCTTAGCATGTCAGAAATCTAGACCCCAGCTTAACACACGCCCGCTGGGCCTTGGGATGTTCCCCCCTATACTAACAGTCCTTACTAGGGATTATCGTACCCTCTATTATACTCCCTCTTAAGGACTGACAATATAAGGGGGCACATCCCACTGTGGGCCCTGCCTCTGGTCCCTTACCTCCTGTAAAAGGGTTCTGAAGTGTGGACCCTTGGGTTGCATACGGTATATGAGGGGTGTTTAAGGGGTCCCCTTTTACGGGGTCCTCTTTTACGGGCCCAGACTCAGGGACCAAACCCCAAACCCCAAACCCCAAACCCCAAACCCCAAACCCTAAACCCTAAACCCAAAGCCCTAAGCCCTCCCATTTTTAATAGCTACCCTAAGAAGGGTCGTTGGGAATGGCCTGAAAGGATAGCAGCACCGATGCCAAGAAGCGCAAGGCACCCCGATTCTCCTCCTTCCTGTGCTGCCTTGGGGGTTTAGGGTTTAGGGTTTAGGGTTTCGGGTTTAGGGTGTAGAGTTTAGGGTTTATTCCCAAACCCTAAAGCCTAGACCCTGAACCCTACACCCTGAATCTTTAGGGTTTAGGGCTGCTCCAGGAGGTTTGGTGTTGCACAAGAAAGTTACCCTCAGACCCCAAACAACCTTGTTGTTGTAAGTTGCTTAACAAGCTTGGTAGCCCAGTGGTACCCTTTACCCTTTTTTGGATATGGGTTCCCTTATAAAGGAACCAACCCAAAAAAGGGTGCCCTTATTATAAGATGGTTACTGGGCTACCAAGTAAGAATCCCAAACGGGGCTTTCTCCGACGATCCTGCAGCACGTTGGTTTGGGGTGCTGAAGGGAGGGCTCGGGTTTCGGGGTTCCGGTCTCCTGTTCTATTCTTCTACGGAGGTGCAACACTCTAACCTGCAGCTGCACTCATTCCACGAGCTGGGTTTAACTGTTTACCTACCGGAGGTGTGGGTAGTGTTTGAGATGTTTCAGAGATGACTCTGCTCTGGGTTTTCGCCTTCCACAGACCATGCATGACATTAAGAGTGCTTGCTCGCCAGCCTACTATTTGCTTAAGAACCCCCAAAAAGATGTTAATCCTCAATAACGCCCTTAAAGGGAAGTGTTTTTTGCGGTGATCTTAAGCAAATAGTAGCCAGCACATGTCCTGCTAAGATGGCATCGTCGGGGCAGAAGACGAGCAAGGCCTCATTTTGCTCTGTCCGGCTTGCTTGGCTATAGTGCCGCAGTCAGGGCATTCCAGGGCACTGCCATTCAGGGTGTATGGGCTTTTTAGATTTTAGAGCGCAATCTTTAGGATGCAGGTTAGGATCTACGATTTAGAGTTTACAGTTTAGAGAGCTTAGAGTTCAGGGTATGTGTGGTGCAAGTGAAGTTCGCAGGCGCCCAAACGGGCTGACAAGAAGCCAGTTCGGGGCCCGGAAAGGTGGTTGAGATCTGCGATTCGGAGAATGAGGGTTCAGGGTTTAGGGATCAAGCTTTTGGGCGTTCTCAATAATCGGCGTTCTACTTGTATGGGGGCTCTTAGACAAAGGACTATCGCATGGTGCGGGAGGGCGGAGGGGGGTACATTCTCAGGCTCCCTCTACTTCGAGGAATGCCCCATACGAATATGCTTCGGGCCTCCAATGTCCTGTAAATTCGGACACCGGAATCTTCCTAAATGCCCCCCACCACAAACTGAAGCCCTAAACCCCTAAAAAACCTGCAACACGAGGCATGGGCGTTTCAAAGGCACAGCCTGGGTAGTTGAACCAAGGCGTCGCCCTAAACCCTAAACTTTGCCCTAAACCCCAAACCCCAAACCCCTAAACCCTAAACCCTAAACCCTAAACCCTAAACCCTAAACCCTAAACCCTAAACCCTAAACCCTAAACCCTAAACCCTAAACCCTAAACCCTAAACCCACCCAGTGGCGCCCAACAAGGCTGCGCCAGGGCCGGGCCTCAAGAGTTTCTTCAGGCTGCCCCCTTTGGGAGTTGGGGTTTAGGGTTTAGGGTTTAGGGTTTAAGGTTTAGGGTTTAGGGTTTAGGGTTTAGGGTTTAGGGTTTAGGGTTTAGGAATGTTTAGGAATGTTTAGGGTTTAGGGGTGTTTCGGGTTTGGGGTTTGGGGTTTGGGGTTGGGGGGTTAGGTTGGGGTTCAAGGGTACTTGTACGCAGGGCTATATGTACCCTTAGTGAGGTTGTAAGCATCGTTACCCTACTTATAGCCGTACTCTTACGTACAAATTAAATATAAACCTCCAAGCAGGTTGGGATGTTTTACATTTTCCCTTATCGTGCTCAAGAGGGGTCCTATTCAGGAATAGCGTTTCAGATGTTTTCAGGAAGGCCAAACCGGGTGGGGTTGAGGGTTTTCAGGGGTTTAGGCTTTAAGGGTTTGGGTTTTTTTGGGGTTTGGGTTTTGTTTGTTTTGGGGTTTGGGGCGTTGGGGATTTGGCTTATCGGGTTTATAGTGTTTTGGCGTCTAAGTGGGTGTGTAGGGTTGGGACCTTTGAGTTCGAAGTTTGCGGCGTAGAGGGCTTTCTTGGCTGCGGGGTTTAGGGGATGTGTTGCCTTCCCCACTCGGCAAAGTTTATCGGGTCCTTAAGGGAGGGGTAGTATAAGGCTCCCTAAGCTTCCCTCAGGATCCCTAGGTACCCACCCCAATGAACCCCTTAAGGACTCTGTCAAAAGCCCAAGCAACACCCCTTTGTGCACGACAGGTGCATTGAGACAGCTGAAGCGGGCGCATGACAAGGCCTGTTGCTCAAACCCTGTACCTTTCCCAGACACTCAATCTTCCCTTACTTGGAGAGTACTTCGTCCTCAAATCATGTTGGGAACCCAATTAGGGTCATAGTTATCGGATTATTCCCTAATGAAGGGTTTTCCGGTCTTCCTGGCGTTTGCAGCCGGTATAACTGCCGCCACTCAGGGACTTGAATGCATGGGTTTCCTAAAAAAGGGGTGCCCTCTGTCGTACCCCAAAATGCTATACACTTTCAGGCAGGAGGCCTCAGTGGTAAACCCTAACTCTGAGCAAGGTATCCGACCCACCCATCTTCTTTCGCGCTCTTCTTGACATGAGAATCTCTGACTGGTACCAGTGCCATTACTGCATGAAGCGCTCAACTGAACATGCAGAGGGGTTGAAGGACATTCGATAGCATCCGTCTAAAAAAAGGGTCCGACCCTACCCAGCCCCAACATCCCCCCGAAAATGCTGAGGCGTATCTTCTGGAAACCCCTGCAGGTAGGGGACCGCTGATGGTCGGCAAACCCCAGGTAAGGGCGCCAACAAAAGGGTGGCCATTTCCTTAGAGATTAGTTCAGCACATGGGATCGACTCAATGGCGCAGCACCGCGGCAGCTGGGTGGCTCAGCCGCAAGAGGGATGAGTGTTTACTAGGGTTTAGGGTTTAGGGTTTAGGGTTTAGGGTTTAGGGTTTAGGGTTTGCTGTGATGGGGCGTAGATGCTGTGAAGGTTAGGCTTTGGAACAGCTCGAAAGCTTCGTGAGGCGCGAAGAGCAGCTTTGGCCCTATTGTGGAGGGCCATCTCACACTTTTCTCCCACCCCACGCCGTCCGAGGCGGCAAACCTATTCCTTTTTGGGGTTTAGGCCTAAACTCAGGGCAACAGTCCACTTCTAAAAACTTGTTCCGTTGTGGGATGTTTTTTCAGGGGGTTGTAAGAGGGTTCCTGGGTCCGAGAGCCACCCTGTGTCAGGGAAGGCACGGGGGTTCCAGTAAGGTCGCGGGCATCCAGAAGTTCTGCAAGGGAGCTCGCGGGGGGCGGTCTCAGGGGTTTGAGGGGGGTCCCAGCAGCCGAGAAGAGCGTGCTCCGGTACCGGGCCCATCGTGCGGGTGCTGCCGACCTCCGAGCTGTGGGAGGCAGGCGAACGTCGGCTTGCGCCCATGAAGTTCGAGGGGCTTAGGAGGCGCCCCCCAACTGCAGGGGCGCGGCCTAGGCCTTGAGTTTAGGGTTGAGGGTTGAGGTTCCAGGGTTTAGGGGTTAGGGTTTAGGGTTGAGGTGAGATTGAAGTGATTGCAGCTGCCCGATCATGGAGGCTGCTGTGCGTGGGCACATGGCGTGCTGGTGTGTGAAGTCGCGGGTGTTCCTGTCATCTAGAGATGTCGTTCACAGCGTCACGCTGCTGTAGTGTGACGCTATTGTTGGACGTTCTTAGCTTTGCATTTTGCATAGAGAACGTCGTGCTTTAGGGCTCAATGCCCTGAGGCTCGGAATGTTATGCCGTGGTCTTTTGAATTTCCTGGTGCGAGTTGTTTCAGGCTAGGTTGGGTATGCTGGGGCACGCTGATAGGTCTTGAAAGCTCAGGGCCAAAAACATTAATCCTCCGCCTCTTTAGTAGGGCACCCTCTGTAATTTCACGCTTGCCGGGTTATTCCTTACTGTTGGTTAGCAGAGGGAATGATGGAATTAGGCACCATACATACCCTTTAAGGGATGATACAGGGTACCTCAGTCCCTCATTCCCTGCCAACCAACAGCAGCACCTGCTAACAACCAACTGCCGGGCCTCGATGTCCCTTGTTGTTTAGGGTTTAGGGTTTAGGGTTTAGGGTTTAGGGTTTAGGGTTTAGGGTTTAGGGTTTAGGGTTTAGGGCCGCATGTAAACTCACCCCTTTTTAAATTAAAATCATCTGAAATCCCGAGGCTGTTAG